GCCAACAATATTCTTTCAAAGGATATTTCTTGGTTTTCATCAAATGTGTGTTGTATTTACAAGAATCTATAAGGTCATTTAGAAGGGACAGTTAGAGATGTTAAACATGTATCGAGTGCCTACAGTGTATGTGCTCTGCGTTTAGTAGTGAAGTGACCAAAAAAAGTCACAATGCCTGTCCTATGGGTGTTCCATGTCCATGTGAGGCAGAACTCCTCACTTCCAGGGTGTGTTAAATGTAATGCTGGCTGCAGAGGTGGGCATGTGGAGGGGGTCCTAGAGGGGCTTCACCACGTAGAACAGGCTTGGTTTTCAAGGCTATTTTCTTAGCAACAAACAGGGCTAGAACATTCAAGACAGAGGGGCTCCCATGTGCTTGCCCAGCAGTGAGTAGTAGTCTGGAGAGCAGAGGTGTCTGGGTGGAGCTGGAGCCTGGGGATGGAGGGGATGAGACAAGAGGGTTGGAAAATCTGGAAATCTCCAAACACTTGTAAGCCATTGAGGAGCATGGGTCTGCTTGATGGACCAGTAGTTCTTAACCTGTTTGGAATCATGGCCACCTTGGAGATTCTGAGGAAGACTGCAAATTCATTCTGTAGCAAAATGCATGTGTGCACACAGGCTTTCTGGTTTGGTTTGGTTTAGTTTTTACGGTTTCAACAAAGTCTTGCCTGACCAAAGCCCCGCGGTTTTCAGCCATGAAGACTGCATGCATCCGGACCAGATGCAGATTTAAGAGATGATGATGGTCTCATCTCGTGGGCTGAGTTTTAGGTGGCTTAGGGGAGCCAAATGGACTTCTCGAATACAGACAGTTGACTCTACTAGGGACTCTTTAACCTGGCTGGGACAATGTCCGTGCTTCACTGTGCTAACCGTTCTAATTTTTCTTATTAAAACTTTGGTTACCGTGTACATTACTGGGTATTGGACAGTATTCCCAATACAGTAACATGGAACAGGTCATTTAATAATGGCTGTTGTCATCGGAAGAGCCAGCTCATAGGAAGTGGGGTAAGAATGGGCTCATGAACCCCTTGTTTTTGGCCACTGTTGGCCTCTGATAGGTCCAAACTCATTTCTAGTTATTTCTTAATAACTTTGCTCATATGTTTTTAGGTAACTGAAAATATGTATTCTGTACAAGCTTTTCAGTTTACCAAAAACCAAAGCAGTTCTACCTTTTCACCTTAGATCGACTCTCTGAGGTTTGGCCGACAGTTTCACTCAGTGTTGAGTCTGAGTGTGTCACCAGCTGTGATGAGGGGCCTGAGACCTGCCCAGGGTCACACTCTCTGCCGCAGGCACCACTGTCCTGACCCAGATGAGCCTCTTTTCCTGTTCTCGCTGCCTCGTGGACAGACCCCCTCATCGTCCCTCCTGTGTCTGACACACTGTCCATGTGTGTGTGTGGGGGGGTGTCTCAGGACATGGAGGCCCCTCATCTACTTCCATGAGATGAATGCCCACCTTATTTGTCTGTTTGGGTGGAAGTGCATTCTAACCTTGAGCAGGTCCCAGAGGTGAGGTGTTACTAGCTCACTGCTGTGCATCCGTCTCTTGACTGCCTGGCTGGGGTCACACAGGCCTATTCTTTTGGGTGTGGTTTCTGCCTGGCACGTTGCTTCCAGCGGGTATTTTAGAAGCCCGTCGCATGTGTATGTCTTACGTGTAGTGTGCTTTTGTTTAGCAAGTGATTTATTATTTGTTACATAGAAATGCATATCCTGAATGGATGGTCAGTGGCAGGCAGAAATCGATGACATCGATTCTGGTTATTCTCCTTTGTAATAGATTCTGTTGTTGTTTTGCGTACGGCAGTGATCCATAAGAGTTTTGAGGAGATGATGCTTTCTTTCCTGGCTTGGCGTCTTGGTGGGTGGAGCAGCCTCAGACCTGGCTGGGGCCGAGGCTGGGGTGCAGGTCTCGGGAGCAGACTATGTGAGCGCTGCACTGCATGCAGCAGGCCGCCCCCCCTTCTGTCTGTGCAGGTGGCGGGACTGGGCAGACAGCATGAGCATCCCTGACCCCTTTGCTGTGACCTGACATCATTTTAAAAATTCAGACCTGGGAGCCACCAAGTCTGTGGACACACAAAGCCCATGGTAGAGCCATCAGCCCTCTCTTCTCCAGGTCCGATATTTGGGGAGGGGGGTGGTCATGGCAGTAAATAAGGCAATATCTGTGATGATACTAGTAACCATTGCTCTGGACCGGGCCTACTCCCAGTACTTTCGTATGTGAATTCGCTATGCAGACAGCAACACGCGAGGCCAGAGTAGCACTAGGCTTGCTCTGGAAAAGAGGGAATGCAGGCCCAGAGGGGGCAGGGCAGGGCGGGGACTGAAACTCACAGAGGGACCCGGTGGTCCCCAACGTAGAGGAAAGGTGTGGGAGGCGCATGGGGCCTTTTGGGGAGGTGGACCCCAGCTTCGCTCAGGGAGCACAGTGATGGGAGGACACCCAGCCTTCCTGGGAAAGGTCTCCATCTGAGGAGGGCCCAGGCCCCATCTCGGGGCTGGGCGAGGCTGTGGAGAGCGCTGAGGAGGGAGGGACTGGCATGCAGGATGGATGGGAACAGGCTGGGAGAGCAGAGCAGGGCCAGGACAGGCTCTCTGGTGCTCTCTTCTGGCAGGTCGTGCATCAGAGTCACAGGGGAGGTCCCAGAGCACCGTGGGTATGTGCAGTGGGGTTGGGGAGCTGCGTGTCTTACAAAGCACCCCCCTGGGAATCCCAACACCAGGGTGGAGAACGATGGGGCTTTCACCCAGGCCCAGGAATGAGGTCAGGACTTTCCACCATGGGGGCGGGCAGGAGGGAGGCATCGGTGCCTCGCAGGGCCAGCCAACACACCGAATGGTGCCGACAGCTCTTAGAACCCAAGCCATCGGGAAGGGACCAACTGAGTGTCCCAACCGAAAGAGACTTCTGTCCTGGCGAGTCTCCTGTGCGCTCTGCTCTCTTGCAAGCTCCTGCTCAGGCCGCTTTTGTCCTAGCAGAGAGCTGTCGATAGATAACCTGCCACTTGGTGTTAGTGACTTCACGAGGGCCGGTTCAAAGGGTTGCTTTTATTTTTATTTAAAGATTTTATTTAGTTATTTGAGAGAGAGAGAGAGTGCACGCACAAGAGTGGGGGTGGGGGGAAGGGGCAGAGGGAGGGGGAGAAGCAGACTCCCTGATGAGCAGGGAGCCTGACATGGGCTTCAGGGCTCCATCCCAGGATGCCGGGACCATGACCTGAGCTAAAGGCTGATGCTTAACTGACTGCGCCCCCCAGGCGTCCCCAAAGGGAGGCTTTTAAAAGGAGGACAGCTTGGGGCAGACGAGGCCTAAAGCAAAGAGGCAGAGAGCTGGTGGTCGGGATTTCCGGTGGCGCGGTGGTGGCCGTTACTCCCCGCAGGCTCCCAGCCACGGGAGATGCTGGTGTCATTGACATGACGCCCATTCATTCATTCAGTCATTTAGCAGATACCAATGGGAGACCTGCCGGGGATGGGGAACAAAATCCACAGGTCCTGCTCTGCATCTTTCCCTGGGGCCTAGCCTTCAATGTCTGTCTGTGCATCTGCCCCTGGGATTCCCCTGGAAGCCTGGCAGTGCCCAGCTCAGGCTTGTTGTAGAGACAGTGTGTGGTGAGCGGGCCAGGGGCACCCATCGTGGGCGGCCCTCAGGTCCTCAGGTCATCCAGGGGGGGCCGAGAAGGCCTTTTGTGCTGGGACCCGCACCTTGTTCCTGATTGTGCAGATCCTGACTGTGTGTTCACCAGGGGCCCTCTTGCCACTGAGGTGCTCATGACCGAGTGGCTGCCCTCAGAGCAAGCAGGTGAAACCTGAGTGTGGGGCCCTTTTGCCGGCTCTCTCTTAAAGGGCACCGTCTGTCTTGTGGTCAGTATGTGCTCCTGTGATTCTCCTGGCTTTGGCATACAAAAGAGACCAAGGCCAAGGTGGGCCGGCAGTAGCATCATATAGACAGGGCGGCTGTGGGGCCGTGGTCGGGCCCTGTCCTCTCCCTGGCTCCCCTCCCTCCTTCTCACTCCCCGTCCTCTCTCTGGTTTTCCCCATTCACAGCCTCACCGCTAGGGCTTCTTCCAGAACCCCAGGACCCCAGAGCCCGCCGGGCTCCCGCTCCTGCAGACGGGGGGACACTGGAGTTGATGGGGTGACTGCTGCGACCCCAGACGCTGGCCCCAGTGGCAGCAGCCATGGCTCTGCCAGCCCCTGTGGCCGCCTCGTGCCCCTGGCGCCTTTCCCACCCCGCACGCCTGCCCGGGCCAGAGGCCTCGAGAGCCGGTACTTCGCCCTTCAGAGCTGCGGGCATGCCATTCTTTTGAAATGAGTAATAGCAAAGCTAGTCCAAGAAATAGCCAGTGTTTTCTCCCTGCTGTTGCCCAGTCTCAAGGAGGTGATCCGATTGCCTGATCGCGTGACGAGTCCAGGGGCCAGGGAGTCAGGGTCCCTGACCCCTGGCGCCCAGGGAGTCAGGGTCCCTGACCCCTGGCACCCAGGGCGAGGCCTGCAGGTCTGTGAAAAACAGGACGATGGAATGATTTGCCCGGTTTGCTTCTGATTGAAAATCATTTTGAATCCGTTTGAGGGGCTCTGTAGAGAGAGTCTGCTTTGAGCAAAGTTCTCTCAAGCCACCCCACAATCTCTGTCGGGGTGACAATCTTTCTCTAAGGTGGTGTCCAAACCACAGGCATTTCGCGCGTGGGTATCTCTGGCAGGAGCTGCAGGGGCCTGGGGAGGGAGTGAACCTCCGCAAGGTCCGCCTACTTCTGGCCGCTCCCTCCCCGCCGCCTGATTTCTGGTGGGTGGACGCTGCGCCCCAAGGAGCCGCAGAGCGGGGCCCAGTGAACTCCGCGTGAACATTGCCTTGTCTGGCTGCAGGGGGGTGGCTTCTCTGCGGGAGGGCTCCATTGCATTTTGGCGGGCGGAGCTTAAACACCCTATCGCGATGCGCGGGGGTCGCATTAAGCACGGGGCGCGAGGCCGGAGGGGTCTCTGGGAAACCGGCTGTCGGAACAAGTTGCGGGAAGATGTGAGAACGAACTGTGCAGGGCTTTTATTGAGAAAGCGTTGGTGCTCTAAACGGGGACGAGTCACAGGGGCACAGGCATGGCTTTTCTCGTCAGAAAGGCCAAGGGAGGGTGGGCGACGTGTTTTTACGACCCCAGGTCACGTAGCTATGTGACTGGTCAGCAGGATTTCGCCATCAGCCCGCAGTCGGTATGTTTCCCTCTGCCCACCTCTCCTCGCTGTGCTTGCGGAATATTTAACAACCCAAGCACCGAGAACTGCAAGATTAACCGGGACAACCTGGGCAAGTGTTCAACAGGGTCCCCTTGGGTGACAACAGACCGTGGAAAACATGGCACGGACCCACGTAACTTGGTGCTTTCATCTTTCCTAAAGAACTCTTGGTAATATATAACCTTTAAATCTGAAGTTATGGAGCATATTGGTGCAACTGTAGCCGAGCTTGCTACAGAGTAGCTGTTGTGATGAACCAACAGCCAGAAAACCCCACCCATCAGCACCATTTCCATGTTCTGCGGAGGAATTCGGAGGAGTCCCTGGGATTCGTGGAAACACACCTTCCCAGGCATGCAAGAGACTGTTCCTCTGACCGAGGCTAATGCAGTTTTCTGCGTTCTAGAACAGGACTGGCAGTCTTGCCCCGTCCCACCCGTCTGAAGCCGGCACACCCGGCTCGGCCAGGACTCGAAGACCCACTTCCATGACTGGCAAGCTGATGTTGGCTGTGGGCAAGAGGCCACAGTTTCTCCCCCCGGGGATCCACCCATAGCTCTGTCTGAGCATCCCGATGATCCGGCAGCTGGCTTCCCCCAGAGAGAGTGATCCCAGGGAAAGCAAGGCAGAAGCCACCACCTCTTAGGACCTCGCCTCAGGAGTCATGTTGTCTTTCCTGCAGTATTCTACTGGTCACACGGGTTGGCCCTGTTCATGCAGGCAAGAATGAGCAGCCCTTTCCAAAGAGTATGTGAGGGTGAGGAACCCTCCTTTTTTGTTTGTTATCCTGGGTTTATGAGTTGTGGCTTTTAGCCGGACACCACCGAATCTGACTGGTTAACTGAACAAGAACAGGAACTGGACAGAAGGTGACTGGATAGTTCTCAGAATCAACTGGAAGTCTGGAGAACAAGGCTCAGAAAAGGGACAGGAGCCCAGGAGGCTCTGAACCACAATTAAGGTGCAGCCACAGGAAGCTTTTGGTAAGGATGTGGCCTGTGGTCCGTGGCACTGATACTGCTGGGCATGGCTGGCAGCGGACTCTCACGGCTGGGGCTTCTGAGAACACTCCTGAAACATCCCTGGATCTGTGACTCACCCTGAAGAGTCGAAGTCTTGGGTAGGATTGATGGTCGGAGCCCGTAGCACCTCCCTGCCACAGTTTGGCTACAGGTACGTGGAGGGCGGGGCCGGCAGGTGGGATCCTGCACTGGCAGGTGTAAGGGATGCCAGGAAGTAGGAAGAGAGTGGGGATGCTGAGGGCCGCCCCCAAAGAGCAGGTGCTCACTCTACCTCCTGCTTTGTACTGAGCTCAAGGGTTATTTTTTGTCTCAAGTGTACCCAGTATTACAACATTAATGTATTCCTGAAAAGTTACGTTGATTTGATTTGTGGTTTATAGACACTGGCTAAGCTTAATACCTTTTAGAAGTCTGCAGATAATCCTTTTGTAAAGCAGCTAATCCTTTTAGAGAACAAATAATCACTTCTTAACCCTTTTATTTTTGAAGATCAAGACTCTGTATATTGGGTTTTCTCAAGGCAGAGTAGCCAGCACTTAGGCTTCCTCTTTTGCTCACAGTGAGGAAGTGTTTCAGGTTTATAGATAACTGCTTATAATCTCTCATGCTGTCTGAAACACACACACACACACACACACACACACACACACTGAGGGTTTTTTCTTTCTCCGCTGTAAATGATTCTTGTCTGGAAGGAAGTGTGGGCTATTACAATTTTTAAAGAGCTTGTATTTATTTGATCTTACCTGCTAGGCTGTTTAAAGAGCAATTTAAGAAGTAAGACCTCGTAAAGAGCAATTTAAGAAGTAAGACCTCGGAGCATTTGCATGGGTCAAGATGCACACATTGTTATACCTGGGAAGTCACATTTGGAAGATTCACCTTTCATATTTTTTTTCCTTCTGTAAGAGGCTTTCACATTACAGCAGAAATATTTTGTTCCATTTCCTCGAAATGCTTTCACGCTTCCTGGATAACAGAGCGGGGCCCCGACGTGACAGCTGGGCAGGAGCCTGGACGGGGTGGGCGTGGCAAGCCAGTTGGAGACTAGACTCTCCGCTCCAGGCTGGTGACAGGTTCTGCGCGTCCAGAACAGTCCTGAGGGCCATGGGAGCACAGAGAACCGGCTGATGAGGAACTAGAAGCAGGCGGGGAGACCAGTGAGACAGCTGCTCCCAAAATGTAATAAAGAGATGAGAGAGAGTGTCTGATAATGGTTTTGCCATTCAGGTGCCTCCATGGGTCAGGTGCGTTCATAGTTCCTGTTGCTTTTTGCCCAGTAACAGGCAGGTGCAGTGGAGTGGCCTCCCCCCGTGGTAGGTAGACTAATTCGGCTCCTTTTTTCTCTAGTGCTAGAACCTATAGGGGTCATTGGTTGATAGAAATGAAGTACTGGCTTATATTTTCAGGGGCTGTGTTATTAAAGAACATAATCCTTTAACTACTAGAATCATACTCATTGGGGCAAGATGCCCCCCTCTGAGAGGGTGCAGGAGGAGGTTGTAGGTTCACTTAGTGGGACTGAGTTGTCTTTAGTCTAAGAGTTGCGTGTGTGTGAGATGTCAGCCCATTTTAAGGTTCGTAAACTGAGACTTGGATGAGTGAAATGAGTTGTTCGAGGCCACGTAACTAGAAGGCAGCAGGGCCGGGACCCTAGCCCAGGGTTGTCTGCATGCCAGACCTGGACACTAGGTCTCCCCGAGGAGAAACAGTTTGGAGGGGATGCTGCCTGGGAGTCCGGGCAGCATGTATGTGCCTCCTTCTGTCTTTCCAGACCATGATTCTGAGATGGTCACATCTTGGCATAAAGTATATAGCTGAAGAAAATACAAGTAACCTTTTTGAGTGAGGTATTTTAGTCATTTATATCAGAATACAGATGATTCTGATTCCATGGTGGGGCATAAAGTAAATCACTTTCCTGATTTAATTTTATTGTTCAGGGAGAAAGGCAATTCCTACATACCTGGTGCATTTTAATGTACTATGTATTATTATTGTATTACCATTATTATTTGAAGCCTTATGGCTTTTTTCCTTTTTAGGTGGCTTTTCCCACATTTTATATTGTATTTAGCCATAAAACACAGAAAGCATCATCATTTTTTAGCTAAGAAAATTGATGCCCTCTACAAAAACTATTAGAGAGAATATTGATTTCCTACATACGGTAATCCTGAATTGCTTCTTTTCCTCAAGATTCATATTATTGCATTAGTGGTAACCTTAAGATTTATGGTTAAAGCAGAACTTCAGAGAAGATTTGTTTGGGAGATTGGCTGTTTTTCACTTATTTTCAACCTATTACACAAAGCATCTGAACAAACTTTAAAATTCCCTTAATTTAACAAAGAAACCATCCTCTGATTGCTCTTGTTTTGTCTAGGTGTCTTGCAGTATGCCCACTTCCTGGCCTGCTCCCTCTTTCAGTAAATTGCGTTTGTTACTACTGACAGGCCTCTGTGTGTTTCCTTAGAGCTTGGACTTTCGGAGCAGGAAGGAAATAGTCGAAAACTTAGTGCAGATACGGCAGTTCTTTAACTGTTTTGAAACGCGTACTTGATCATTGCTTCATATCGATTCCATCCGTCCTTCTGTGGGAGGTTTTCCCTATGCCGATCCATTTCCTTTTTTCACGTTTTTAATGGTCTTTGTGCACGGAGAACCATTTCTTCTGGGCATGTGACAGATTTGCTGTGCTGGGTTAGATTAGCATGCTTGTCTGATCCTGAGTCCATCTGCAAGGCTGCCTGATGAAAAGGGAAAAATAGTCAACATCCTGTCCTGGATGCGGACTTGGAGGTGTGTGCTGGGAATTCGTGTCTCCCTTTGAAATAACATTTTGGAAAGCACAGTGTTTGGTAGATAAGGGCTGCACTCATCATGTCACATCAGAGAACAATTGTAGCATTTAGTTTCATATCGTCCTGCTTTCAGCCCAACTTTTATAGCTGAACAAAACACTGAGCGCTGTTTAGAGGTCAAGGTCAGCACAAATCAGCTTTCACCCTAGGAAAAGAAAATGAGCTGAATAGCCATGCAAAGGGACATGTTTGTTAACTATAGCGATTGTTGTGAATAGATTTATGCATTCAGTTTGTTTGCACTTGTCAAAACCTCATTAATTGTAAGCCCGATGACACTGTTTGCTATTTCAAATCAGTTTTAAATTACACATGTGCTGCTTAATCTTAAAAGTAAAATTAAACCCTGGATTGGTATACACTTTAAGTTACAACACTAAGCCATTCTGTTTGGGGCAAGGAGTTTAATACTCGCTGTAAAATAAAATTAGGAGGTCCTTTGCATCCATGGTGTCTGATGTAATTACGTTCTGTCAACTGTAATTTTTCAGGTTAATTTCTTCCACGGTGTATGCTATGTAAATAATAAAGTTATAAATACCTTTATACATTTAAATTATTATATAAATCCTTAGTATTAATGCAATAAATTTTTTTAGGCAAATTACTTGGAAGTGTGGGTTGTATGGCAAATAGGTAAAATTGATATTTTTTAGAAATCAGCAAAGATAGATATTTTATTTGTCTAACAAATATATGATAAATCTCATTGATTTATCAAGGCTCTAGACCAGGTGTTAGGGACGCAAGAGTCACGTGGTCACTGCCTCTAAGAACTTGCTAATCTAGCGTGACCTTTTCAAAAGGTTCCCTGGGACAAGTGTGCCCTAAGGTTTTCTGCCAGGCATGGTCAGATGGGTTGAGAGCTGTGACCTGAAGCAGGGGATCCGTTGAGAAGGTACAGGGAATGCCAGCCATTTGGGCCACAGGACTCTCTTCTCCATCCCATTCCTGAGTATGTTGGTCTGGGCTCTGGAATTCTTAACTTGGGGTCTCTTGAGAGCTTGTGGATAAAACTCAGAGTTTGTAAATTTAGATGGTGAAAAAATTGACCCCTTTCTTTCCATAGAATTACTTTCCTTTGTCATCTTATATCCCTTGTACCTTTACAGTGAGACCCTCCAAGCCCATCCCTAACTCTTGGTGACCACTGGTCTGTTCTCCATCCCTCTAATTTTGCCTTGTCAAGAATGTCATATAGTTGGACTCATACACTACAGAGCCTGTTGGGTCTGGCTTCTTTCACACAGCGTATGGATCTCGGAATCATTCTTGTGCTGTGTATCAATAGTTCATCCCATTTTATTGAGTAGTGTTCCGCTGTATGGAAGGACCACCATGCCTTTCATCTTTCCCCAGTCGGGGGGCATGTGGGTGGGTTCCAGTTTGTGGCATGTATGAATAAAATGGCTGTAAATGTGCATATAAGTTTTTGTGTGAACCTAGGTTTTCAGTTCACTTGGGTAAGTCAGTAGGATGGGGTTGTTGGATGCATGTCATGCGTGTTTAATTTGGTAAGAAACTTCCAAACTGTTTTCTATAGTGGGTATACCCTTTGCTTTTCCACCAGCAGAGCATGAATGTTCCCATTGCTCTGTACTCTTGCCAACATTTGATATTGTCAGTTTTTTCCTTTTTTTTTTTAGTCTTTTTTCCTTTTTTTAATTTTTGCCTTTGGTATGGGTGAGTAATGGGATCTCATTGCAGTTTTAATTTGTATATCCCTAATGACTAATGGTGTTGAGCATCTTTTCCTGTGCTTGTTTGCTCAATGCCCATCTTTGGTAGTGTCTATTTAAATCTTTCGTCCATAAATTGTATTGTTACTCCCATATATTTTATTTTAGGTCATTAAAAGTATTACTCTGAGAATAAACTTCACGAGATGGCCCAAGGGAGCCACGTGACCAAAAAGGTTAAGAACCCTTGAGAGACACACTATCCTTAAAATATCTTTGTTCTTTACATTTTTGCATTTGGCACATGTCCTTGTTCAAAGTCTGTCATGCACCATCTCCAAGGTAGCAGCTTGCCCATGATAGAATATATTCCTTCCCCATCATTCTTTCTGTTCTGTGTACATAAAATGGGATTTTAAAACATCACCCTCAAGTGTGGGCGGGATTCCTTACTCCTCCCTCCCGTTCAGTGAGCAGTAAGGCATTTCTTCTGTTTTTATTTATGAAATTCTTTGGCCCTCTTTGATTCTTTTCTCAAATGGAAGGAATCTTAATTTGCAGGAAAAATGCAAACCACTATATTCCAGGAAAATGGTCTTATTCCAGCA